GACGGCGGCGGCCCCGACGGCGCGACGGAGGGTAGGGCCGGGAAGCCCGAAAAAGCGGCGGGCGAATCCATGTCGCTGCGTCCGGTCATCAGGATGTGGCAGACCTGCCCGCGTTGGGGAGAGCAGGGGCCGCAAAACTGCCTTATATGGACAGAGCCCCCTCCCCACCAGGGGAGAGGGCTCGGACCTTCCCTGTTGGCCTGAGCCTCCCCTCTAATTTGCTTTCCCAGCCCCCTTACTGTGCTCACAGCCCCCTCAATTTCGCCCCTCCTTCAGTCTCATCCCTTGGGGTCAGTTTTTCCCAGACCCTGCCTCACCCCTTCCCTGTCTCCATTGGGTCAGCCTCGAGGCCCTAGCCCCAACCCACGGTATTTGATCAGCCCCTTCCCTTTCCACCCCTCCCTCTACCCCCTCCCCTTTGGGTCAATCCCAATCACAAATCCACCCATTCAGCGCACTCTCCTGGCCCTCTCCCCATTTTGCTCCTCCCTCCCCACAGTCAGATCCCCTCCATGCTCAGGTCCTTCCATCCCCAGCTGGATCTGGGATAAAAGAAGTCTTGCCAGCCCACAGTGCCCTGTGTGGCTGCTCAGAGAGGCCTCAGGCCATGGTTGGACAGTAGAGAACCAGGGCAGAGGTCACAGAGAAGGGCAGGGGCAGAGACAGGCTCTGGGAAGAATATCTGAAGACTCCAGATCAGGGTCACCATCTCCTCTCTCTGCTCCCTCCCCCACATACTCCCTATTCTGTCCTTGCTGCAGGCCTTGTGAGCCTTCTTTGAAAAAAAAAAAAAAAAGATCCAATTGTTTTAAATCAAGAGCTCCTCAAAACCCACAGTTGATGGGGCTGGGGTTGTGGCTCAAAGGTAGAATGCTCACCTAGCATTCGTGAGGCATTGGGTTCAATCCTCAGCACCACATAAAGTAAAATAAAGACATTGTGTCCACCTATAACTAAATTAAAAAAAAAAACACAGTTGGAGATGCCCTTTGGACTACAGATCTCCACACCTCTCCTATTCAAGGAAACTGTTCCCCTTCTCTTCCCCACCCCACCCCACCCCCAGCACCTACACAGAAAGCCACAAACAGCTCTGCACAGCTTCCAGAGTTCCAAGAAACAGTTACCAGTTGGGAGACAGACCCCCACCAAGAGCTTCTATTAGACTGAAGATCTGAGAGGCTTTTGGATCAGAGACATCATAGGGGGATAGGGAGTTTAGGCAGTTTTGTTAAAAATTCAGTCTGGGCAATACCACCCACCACTATCATTTAGAGGGAACTAAAGAGTGAAGGAGCCCTGTCCTAAATCACTTTCTGGACAGACAAGATCAAGGGACTTGGAGGGCTGGGTGTACAGTGAGGCCCCTATGGTGCTAAGTTTAAGGGGCACTTACTCTCAAGGTCTTGCAAATGCAGGATCAGTCCTTAAAAGCCAGGACCTATTGCCATCTGGAGACTCATTTGCCCCACCCTAATCCAGTTCCCAAGTAGTGTGCCTTACCTTTCTACAGATGACCATAGCTAGCTTCAGGTTGCCTGAGGCTCAAAGTGTCAAAATCCAAAATCCCTGGAGCTCAAAGGGCCCCTCTCTTATTTCTAGTAGTAGTAAAAACCCAGGTACCATTACTGGGCATTTTGTATTTAGTAAACACTTTAAATATATTACATCATTTAATTTGAGCCTTCCTGTGAGGTGTTATTATTTTGTTATTATTATGTGAATGAGAAAACTGAGAGGTTAACTTCACATAATACCTAGAAATGGCAGAAGTCAGAGCACTGGTGTCACCACTTTCCTAGCACCATCCTTTAAAGCAGAAAATTTAGAAATAAATTTAGTAATTTATTTAGTAATTCCTCCAGCTCCCCACTCCCACTGCAGCTGCAAGTTGGTTCACTGACCTGGTCAGCATATCTAGGTGCCCATTAGACATCACTACACAGATGTCTCAAGACATTTGAAACCCAGTTTCCTAAATGAAATGCTTCTCTCAGTAAATTAGTACACCCTCCAATCCCAGCCCACTCTTCTGCCAGCATCATTCCATATCTCAGCACATGGACACCTCCTTTTCCTCCTGCCTCAGTCTCTATATCTAGGCCACTGACAAGTCCTCTCTGTGCCACATGGATCCCAAGTCCATCCCTCCTTCAGTTCTCATAGGCTCAGGCCAGCCCTCATCATTCACTGAGTACTTCTGAGCCAGGTCCTTTAGACCTTGAGAGCTTGTTTGGATGTTCTAGCAGGGAAATAGCTATTCCTACACCCTTGATGGAAGACCTGTCCTCAATCAGTGGTCTTCCCTTATCAGAAGGTCATCCTCTTTGACCAATCATGCAGCTTTGGGAGGGATGCATGTGGAGTGAAGAGGGAGGAAGGAGACACCCACCTAGCCAGCCAGATCAACTGAATCAACCCTAGTGATCAACTGGGGTGCTAGAGATCACAGATAGATCGCCTTTACATTCTGGGCCAGGCTATTTGGGAATGCTCAGGGCAAGACAGAGATGATGTGACTTATAACCTGGTGGAGACATGGACAATTACCAGCTGGGAGAGGGGTGGGCTGGGAACTGGAGAAGCAGAGAGGAAGGAGATGACATTTACTCCACTCACCACAATGGTGCTCCAACAGGTCCTTCTCCAGTACCCTCCCCACACTGCATTCTGCTGCCTGAGCACAGGCCTTATCAAACTCAGGAAAATGCAGTCAAGACAAACAGATCCTCAGAGAAGAGGCAGAACAAGCAACTGCAGCACCAGGGAGTCTAGCTCCAAGGGCAGAGTGACCTAGAGCCAGTTTTCATTTGCGCCTCAGTTTCCTTACTTGCCAAATAAAAGTGATAATGTCTCTTCTCAGTGTTGTTATGAGACTGTGTTAAAAAATGCCTGGCCCATATGGAAAGAAGTTCTTATTCTACTACACAACTGGCATTTCCAGTAAGCAGGAGCACAGGAAGAAAAGCAGGGCATCTTTTCAGTCAGGTGCAGCATATCCCTGCAGCTAGACTCTCGGTGAAGAGAGCCAGGGCCGGTGCTTCTTTTCCTACTCTCCCTAAGGATGAAGCCCCTAACTCACACCTTCAGAAAGTGAAGGGTCATGGGGGAAATTGAATTTTATTACCTCCCATAGCCGACTGTAATTTTCTTATACTTTCAATTTTCCATCCATGACAGCCTGAGACATAGTATATGTTCAATAAATGATATTGAATGTGCCGTTGACTAAACTAATCCTGAGGAGGGTGGGGGCAGGGAGCAGGGCCAAAGGGATGAGAACCCAGACTCTTCCAGTTCTTTGTGACTGTCTGGCCCCCTCCATTGGGCCTGCTTCCCAGAGCCAAGCAGTCCAGTGTCAGGGGGCGGCCCAAGGGCTAATCCGCGTTTTCAGCGTGGCTGGGCCCTCTTTTCACAGGCCCTGGGCCGGACGTGATGCGGCTGAGCATCCGGGCATAAGATGGCCAGTGAAGGCGGCCCCTTTCTCATGGGCCTGGATTCCAGGCGGCCCAACGTCTGAGTGGAGCCCCTGGGGCGGGAGGAACACAGTGGCTGGGCTGGGCTGTCCTTTGTCTGACCACACTGGGTGGATATTCGGGCTGGCAGGAGGGATTAATGGCCAGGGATTGGCCCTGGGGCCGGCCTTCCCACTGCCCTTTGGAGGCCAAAGGCCCAGGTCAGGGCACATAGTGTTGATGGCTCTCTAGATAGGAGTGGAAATTCCCACCCTTGTCCAAAGCTGTTTGCACTATCCCCCAAGACCCTCCATCCCCAGCCCCAGCTCTGCAGAGTCACCACTAGCCCAGACTTTGAGGCAAGGAGCAGAGAGGGTGGGGCCAGAGCTTCCAAGTAGTCTGCCTAGGAGAAAGGTGCTCTGTGTTAACCCAGTGAGAGTCCAAGAGGCTGGCCTGAGCTATTACCAGAACCTTTAAGGCTTTCTGGAATATTCCCATCCCAGAGTTACTATTTTGAGACCATCCCAGAGTTACTTATTTCTAAAACCCTCCATCATGGTGTCTAGGGATCCAGAAGTCCAGAGGTGAGAAAAGGGGCTTGGAATTGCAGGAATTCTTAGACCACCCCCAATAAGAAAGTCAGCTACAGTCTAACACCATTTGCCTCCCAAAAGCCCGGAGGGCTCCTGCAGGGCTTCCTCCCTCTGCCTCCCTAAACTAGAGCTGCCCAGGTTACTGCTCATTCCTCAGGATCCCGAGGCAGGCGTTTCTAAACTGACTGGGGCATCTGGGAACCCACTGTGGCAAGGCCCCTTCTGCTCCTGAAATAAGGATGAAAGGAGCAGCCCAGCCTTGCCCACAGGGCCTGGCTCCAACTGAGCCAATCTCAGAAAGAAAGCATGTGCAGGGCAGAATCTGGGAGAGCATCAGGAAGTAATCCAGGAAGAGGGTACTTTGACTTCTTCACTCCTCAAGCTCTTTCATTCCCCCAGTCCTGAGGATGTGTGTGTGTGTAGGGGGGGGGTGCTGTCCGAGCACTGGATCCTAAGCAAGAGTCAAACTGTTCTCTGCCTTTATGTGTTCAAGCGGAGGCAAACAAGCAGACTTTCCCCCTCCAGTGGTCAGTGCAGGATGCAGGGACTTGAAAGAGCCTGGCCAAATCAGGAGGAAGATGTAAAGCTCCAGAGGACCAGGAGGGGAAGGGCCCAGGCTAGATTTGGGTCTCATTCTCTGTCACTGCACTTACTTATCTTGTATCATCATCATCCTTTCATGTGTCTGTCTCCCTAACTAGACACTGCATGCACTGAGGGCACACATCTCATACATCTTTGGATCCCTGGCACTTAGTGAAATGTCTGGCAAAAGTTGATGAGAATAGCTGGGCGCAGTGACACACACCTGTAATCTCAGCAGCTCTGGGGGGCTGAGGCAGGAGAATGGTGAGTTCAAAGCCAGCCTTAGCAACTTGGCGAGGCCCTAAGTAATTCAGTGAGACCCTGTCTCTAAATAAAATATGAAAAAGAGCTGGGGATGTGGCTCAGTGGTTAAGTGCCCCTGGGTACAATACCCAGTACCAAAATACAGTTAATGACAGTAGATATATTGAATAGTTGGAAGGATGGCTGGATACCAGCTTGAGAAAACTGGGTGCAAAGTTCTGAAAGCAAGAACCAGTGGGAAATGCAAGACCTCAGTGTGAGTCACCTGAGCTAATAAATATGTAGAAAGTGCTTAGAGTACTGCATGCATATTCCGGTGCTGGGTAACCACTGGTTGTCATTGTTACTGTTATTTGGCCAGACTGGTGAGGTCCCTCTTCCATG